GTAAATGTGTACCATAGTGGTTTGCTGCACCTAGGTATTAAGCCTAGCATGCATTAGCTATTTTTCCTAATTTTATCCCTTCCCCCACCCCATATTTTTTATTTTATTTTTTATAGAGACAGAACCTCACTATGTTGCCCAGGCTGGTCTCGAATTCCTGGCCTAAAGCGATACTCCCACCTCAGCCTCCCGAAGTGTTGGGATTACCAGGTGTGAGCCACTGCGCCCGGTGTTATATTGGCTTTAATTGTATTTATGGAAGAACTTCTATGTGCTTTATTTTTTAAAAAATAGCAGATATGACAAAATGATAAAATTTGATAAAGCTGTGTGTTAGGTACATAGGAATGTATTTTCTGTATGCTTGAAATATTACGAAAAAAATAAAGCCATATACACTATCTGTTTTTTTGTGTGTATGTGTCAATAGGATTTAGGCCTTTTTTGTACTTCTAGGTTGAAGTTTTCAAGATGAGGGTATTTTTTTTTTCGCCTCTCTGTTAGAGAATACTAAAGTTATGTTTTATGTTTTATTTATTTATTTAGTTTTTACAATGTACCATTTTAATCATTTGGGTATCCTTTTTAAAATCTCTGAGCTTTTTAATTTTTATTTAATTTTTTGAGACAGAGTCTAGCTCTGTCACCTGGGCTGGAGTGCAGTGGCCCAGTCTCAGCTCACTGCAACCTCCGCCTCCCGGGTTCAAGCAATTCTCCTGCCTCAGCCTCCCAAGTAGCTGGAATTACAGGCACGTACTGCTATGCCTAGCTAATTTTTGTATTTTTAGTAGAGATGTTTCACCATGTTGGCCAGGATGGTCTTGATCTCCTGACCTTGTGATCTGCCCATCTCGGTCTCCCAAAGTGCTGGGATTACAGGCATGAGCCACTGCGCCCGGCCTCAGCTTTTTTTAAAAATTACTTTTTATTTTAAGTTCCATGGTACATGTGCAGGATGTACAGGTTTGTTACATGAGTAAATGTGTACCATAGTGGTTTGCTGCACCTAGGTATTAAGCCTAGCATGCATTAGCTATTTTTCCTAATTTTATCCCTTCCCCCACCCCATATTTTTTATTTTATTTTTTATAGAGACAGAACCTCACTATGTTGCCCAGGCTGGTCTCGAATTCCTGGCCTAAAGCGATACTCCCACCTCAGCCTCCCGAAGTGTTGGGATTACCAGGTGTGAGCCACTGCGCCCGGTGTTATATTGGCTTTAATTGTATTTATGGAAGAACTTCTATGTTCTCTTTCCTTATTTTAAATATTGGGAGGTAGATGAAACATTTTAGATTTCTCTACATTTGAAGAAGAGGTATATTTTCTTAGGTTCTTCTTTTTTTGAGACAGTCTCACTCCATCACCCAGGCTGGAGTGCAGTGGCAGGATCTCGGCTCACTGCAACCTCCACCTCCTGAGTTCTAGCGATTCTCCTGCCTCAGCCTCTGGAGTAGCTGGGATTACAGGCGTGCACCACCACACTCAGCTAATTTTTTGTATTTTTAGTAGAGACAGGCTTTTGCCATATTGGTCAGGCTGGTCTCAAACTCCTGGCCTCAGGTCATCTGCCCGCCTCGGCCTCCCAAAGTCCTGGGAATACAGGCGTGAGCCACCGCGTCTGGCCAGGTTCTTCCTTTAGATAGAATAATAAATATAGGTACTTGCCTCTGTTTCTGTTCAGTATCAGTGAATTATCTACAGAAAAACGAGCACAGGAGGACTGCTGAAGTAAAAGAGGCGCACAGTGCCTGCATTCCCTCGCCTCATGTAGTCTTAGACTATTCAGGATGCTTTGGAAAGAGTAAACTGTAAATCATATTGCGTATTTTCTGGGCCAGGAGTCTGGAGTAGTTTCATATTGCCTGTGAAACAAGAGATGCTTCTCAGAATGAGATTTCTGGCTTAATTGAATTAGGATTATTGCAGGCAGGATGGGAGTGAAATGGTACATTCCTTTCATGCCAGTTGTGGAGAGGATCTCCGTGCAGGCCGTTGATAGAATGGTATCCTACACTTCCTTGGTGTCTCTCTCTGAGGAAATAAGGGCTTAATATGTCCTATTCAGTTAATCCTCACAGCATCCTTAAAGGTGACCGGAAGGCAGATAGTATTAACTCCATTTTACTTAAAAAGCAGTGGCAACATGATGATTTGGAGCTCCCTGGGGGCCCTGGAACTTTTCTCTAAACTCCTCCGGTAGCTGAGGAGCAGGACGCACGCGCCGAGGAGGGAGATATTTATGGCACATTGCCTCGGTGCCAGGCACCGTTGGGAACTTTCTAGGATCGTGATGTCTTTGAATTCTCAGGACGTTTCTGCGAGGTGGTGGGCGGGATCATCCTGGGTTGTCAGGGAGAAGTCAAGTTCACTGGCCCAGGTCCCCAAGCTGGTCAGTGTGGCCCGGTCTGACCCCGAGGTTCCGCTGGGGTTTCTATCCCTCCAGCCTGGCATCGTGAACTCAGGGGAAACAGATGGGGAATCTGTTGTTGTAGCAAAGATTCAAAGGATTTGAAGCAAAATCAACAAACTCAGTTGTAGAGGGTACCACGTGGTTGATACCATTGAAAACAATTGCACCTAAATGAAATAATTTGATGGCGTGGAGTCGAGTTTTGGAGCGCTTGCATCACACCTTCTGACACCCGGCTGGGGGGCCGCCTGTCCCAGAGCATCGAGGACAGATACCGCTGCTGTTAGACCGCATTCCACCTCTTTAGTGGGGCCCCACCGCGCTGGCCGCGAGACTATTTTAATTTGTAACAATCCTGCTTGATGACAGGAAGATGTCAAAAAGGAGAAATCAGGCTCATTGGGGTTCCTTGTCCACTCGGGGGACATGTCTCACTGTGTTGCCTGAGGCCTTGTACATACCCTTACCCTCTCTTACCGGGAAGTAAAGTGAGGTTTAGAAAGATTACCTTCATAGGTGGGAATTGAACAATGAGAACACTTGGACACAGGAAGGGGAACATCACATACCGGGGCCTGTCGTGGGGTTGGGGGAGGGGGGAGGGATAGCATTAGGAGATATACCTAATGTAAATGACGAGTTAATGGGTGCAGCACACCAACGTGGCACATGTATACATATGTAACAAACCTGCACGTTGTGCACATGTACCCTAGAACTTAAAGTATAATAATTAAAAAAAAATAAAAAAAAGAAAGATTACCTTTGTCCTGGGTCATTTTTTCTTAAATGCACAGCTAGGATGCAAACCCAGACAGTTTACAAACTCTTTCAGGTACCATCAGCCACATGCCAGGACTTCAGTGGCGTGATGTTTTTTGTTGTTTTTAGAAAATACTGCTAATCACTCATGGGAAATAGGGATGAGGGCTTGGATTTCAGCTGCTTTGCATTAAACAATGATTTCTCTTATTATAAGCAGAGCTCTCTATTAACCAAAAACACTTGGCTGTTAGACATGGTGTTTAATTGCTGTTAGAATGTATTTTTGTCACACTGCCCTATAATAAGCAAAAGAACTGTTTGTGCCAAACATTGAAAGGAGGCTAAGGGAGGATGAAAACCATGCCTGCTACTCCACCTCCCTTCTTTCGAGGTCGTGGTGTTTTGTTTGCTGTTTTAGCTGTGTTGTGTGCGTACCACTCGTACCTTTCACAGGAGAACACCTCATCTGAATACTGGTCAGGACCTGAGACGGGATGAGCCCTCCCCACAGTGCCCACGGGTAGGTGCGCTGCTCTCTGCCCCTTAGCCAGGAGCTCTGCTTTTTCTACCCTTAGAGATTTCTTTCATCCTCTATTGTGTAGGCCTGACTCTTCGCCTAATAGAGGAAAAACAGCCATCTATTTGGCACTCTTTTTTTTTTTTTTCCAAAATGGAAATGACTTTCTCTCTGATTTTTACAAAGCAAAAAATAAGAGTAAAGATTCAGAAACGACAAAAAAGTATGGCGAAGGGAGTAAAGATGGCCACGAATCCTATGACTGCCGATGGTTTGGTCCCAGGATGCATTCTTCAGATATTTTCTCCCTGTAGGTTTATGTAAACAGAAAGCTAGGTGAGTGGAAGTAACACTCCAAATACTGATTTGTGGCCGGGCGTGGTGGTTCACACCTGTAATCCCAGCAGTTTGGGAGGCCAAGGTGGGTGGATCACCTGAGGCCGGGAGTTCGAGATCAGCCTGGCCAACATGGCGAAACCCCATCTCTACTAAAAATACAAAAATTAGCCAGGTGTGGTGGCGCATGCCTGTAGTCCCAGCTACTCTGGAGACTGAGGCAGGAGAATCGCTTAAACCCAGGAGGTGGAGGTTGCAGTGAGCTGAGATCATGCCACTGCATTCCAGCCTGGGTGACAGAGCAAAAAAAAAAAGCAACGTGATTTGATTTGTAACAATTTTGTGTCCTAGCGTAGAGTTTACTGTGCTATTGAAAATATCTTTTGACTGGGCAGGCGCGGTGGCTCATGCCTGTTATCCCAGCAGTTTGGGAGGCCGAGGCGGGCGGATCATGAGGTCAGGAGATCAAGACCATCCTGGCCAACATTGTGAAACCCCATCTCCACTAAAATAGAAAAAATTAGCAGGGTGTGGTGGCACGCACCTGTTGTTCCAGCTACTCGGGAGACTGAGGCAGGGGAATCGCTTGAACCTGGGAGGCAGAGGTTGCAGTGAGCTGAGATCAGGTCACTGTGCTCTAGCCTGGTGACAGAGCAAGACTCTGTCTAAAAAAAGAAAGAAAATATCTTTCAATGATAGCTAATATATATATATATATATATATTTATATGTATTTTATATATATACACATTTATACACACTACACACACACACGCACACTGTATTTGAAGTGACATGTTACATGGTTTTCCACTATATGATTTCTCATATTTCATCAAATTGATCCTCTCGAACTCCTGACCTCAAGTGATCTGCCTGCCTCGGCCTCCCAAAGTGCTGAGATTCCAGGCCTGAGCCACCGCACCCAGCCTCTGATCTTTTTTTCATCTTTTTCTTGGTTTCTGACCTTATTACCACTCTGCACCACGTTGGGATGGGTATTCTTGTACATCCGTGCAGCTTTTCTATGATTTTTAATGTCTGATTATTTTCTTAGGTTAAATTTCTAAAAGTAGAAGTGAACAGCGTGTGCACATTTTTATGACCTTGGGTACATTTCATTACATTACTTTCCAGAAAAGTTGGAACAATTCATAACAGTAACTGCAATGAATTTCTTGTATTACTTACCTCTTTTTAAGCAAGTAATATAATCTCTTGGTTCCAAAAACAAAGCATAAAGAAAAGTCTCCTATCTGCCTACCTCCCCACCCACAGTTGCTGATTTTTTGGTGTGTATCCTTCCCGCGTTTCATTATATACACAGAAACAAATACCAGTGTCGCCCTCCTTTGTATGTACATAGTCTAGCGTGCTATGCATACCCTTGTGCAAGTGTCTTTTTTATTTTTTTAAATTAACAGGCCAGGTGCAGTGGCTCATGCCTGTAATCCCAGCACTTTGGGAGGCCAAGGAAAATGGATCACTTGAGTCAGGAGTTTGAGATCAGCCTGGCCAACATGGCAAAACCCCGTCTCTACAAAAAATACAAAAATTAGCTGGGCGTGGTGGCGGGCACCTGTAATCCCAGCTGCTGGGGAGGCTGAGGCAGGAGAATCGCTTGAGCCCAGGAGGCGGAGATTTCAGTGAGCCGAGATCGGGCCACTGCACTCCAACCTGGGCGACAGAATAAAACTCTGCTTCCAGAATAAATGAATAAAATAAAATTAAATTAACAATGTTTCTTACACTTTTCAAATCAGTACATTAAAGTCCCTCCAGGCCGGGCGCGGTGGCTCAAGCCTGTAATCCCAGCACTTTGGGAGGCCGAGACGGGTGGATCACGAGGTCAGGAGATCGAGACCATCCTGGCTAACACGGTGAAACCCCGTCTCTACTAAAAATACAAAAAAAAAAAAACTAGCCGGGCGAGGCCGCGGGCGCCTGTAGTCCCAGCTACTCCGGAGGCTGAGGCAGGAGGAGGCAGAGGTTGCAGTGAGCTGAGATCAGGCCACTGCGCTCCAGCCTGGGCGACAGAGCGAGACTCCGTCTCAAAAAAAAAAAAAAAAAAAGTCCCTCCAATTGTGTGTGTGTGTGTGTGTGTGTGTGTGTTTATTACAGCAACACTATTGTTCAGTGATATGAATAGGTATATTTTATATACTTGGTTCCATTTTGATAGATATTCGGGTTGCTCGTTGTGCATATACCGTTTGACACAGGTGCAAGCTTATCTGCAGGGGGAAGCCGATCTGCAGGACTCATTCCTATAGGGATAGGGGCCGGGCCCAGGGACTTAAGTATTTGTGAATTTGTAGAAACTGCCAGCTTCCGCACACTTACCAGTTTACACACCTTCCCTCCAGCACTGTCTGCAGAGAGCCCTGTCCTCCAGGGCCCTAATGCTAATTCTTTCATGATTGCACTAATTATATGCACAAAAGGAATGCAACAAAACAAAGCAAACCACCTGGTTTTGTAGGTGTGGAAGTGCACATGGCAGTAAGGAGTCAGTGAAATCGGTTACTGTGGGACACGACCCTCCCCTTGGTTATTTTACTGACTTGGAATAACGCCACTTCCTTGTAGGAAACAGGCAGTGACTGTCAGTGCGTGTGCCTAGGAGAGGGGTGGGTCCTTTTAGAGACTGACTGCCTTTTAGAGACTGACCACGCAGTTACCCAGCAACAGGCTGCTGCTTAGCTAGATGAAAAGTCAGTTTGAGAAACTGAAGTCATTGCCGCTAAGGCTGGCAAGGTGTGGCCGGGGTCAAGTCAGGGGAATGTCGTCGTAGCCGGCCCTGTGTGCCTGAGACCCTCAATTAATGCATGGCTGCTGGGGTCTGGCAAAGCTCACCTTGCAGTTTTGTTCAAAGCTGTGCAATTTCCAAGCCACAAAACAGATCCTTTTCAATACAATGTGATTCTAAAAATTCTGTTAATAAAGAGAAAAAATGATGCACCAGCGGCTTACAAGATTTTTTTTTTTTTTTTTTTTTTTGAGACAGAGTTTCACTCTGTCGCCAAGGCTGAAGTGTAGTGGTATGATCTTGGCTCACTGCAGCCTCCACCTCCCAGGCTCACACAATTCTCCTGCCTGAGCCTCCTGAGTAGCTGAGATTATAGGCATGCACCACCATGCCGGGCTAATTTTGTATTTTTAGTAGAGATGGGGTTTCGCCATGTTGGCCAGGCTGGTCTCAAACTCCTACCCTCAGGTGATCCACCCGCCTGGGCCTCCCAAAGTGCTGGGATTACAGGCGTGAGCCCCTGCACCCAGTCACAAGATCTTAAAGTAGAAGGAACTACGGTATTTTTTTCGAGAATTCTGTTAGAGCGAGAAGCCCGTTCATACTGTGCTGGAACCATCCTGTGCCTGTCTGTCCTTTGTAGGAACTCAAACCAATATGCCTAAGTAGCTGAAACTGTTGCATTTCAAAGCCTTTTCAAGCATATCTTGAGGACACTGTTCCTTGCAGCTGAACTGAAGTCTTGATCTGAGCCCAGGAGGAGTCCCTGGGGTTGTCTTGTTGCAGGTGGGGGAGTGGGAATGCTTGCACTCAGCTTTGGGGGACCTTAACCCTTTGCCCCCTCCCCTGTCACCTTCACATAGCTTTAACATGAAAGTCTTTCTGTCCGTCAGATCTCCCCTGTGCAAAGAGGGGTCTACTCCAAAAATCACTTTGAAATGGGAATGGACCCCTCCCTCTCTTCTATTTTAGTTTCTAGCTCTTTAAAATAATGCAGCTTTTCGCTTTATTGTTCTGAATCAATGCATTCTAGCCATTGGCTTTCCCAGTTGCTTCCCTGCGGCTGGGAGCCCTGCTTTGTGGTTGAGGCTGGTCTTACCATTGCTCCAGTGGTCTTTGGCCCTCTGGGGCTTACTTCCCCTGCCCGGGAGGCCTGGGGCCAGCCAGTGTGGTGTGACCCACCTGACAGTGAGCTCTCCCGGCTGGCCCAGTCGAGGGTGGTCAGGTTCCTTTTGTGGCCTCACCTTCTTGGGAGGTAAAAGTGGCCCCCTGGGTGCCATGTGGGCCGCCCACAGGGTCCTCGGTGGAGCTCCAGCATTGATTCCTGCAGGTTCAGCTCCTGCCCCAAAGCAGCATCCAGCTGGCTGACTGGGGTTCTCCCAGGCTCACTAAGCACAGGACAGCCTGCTTCTGCATGGGGGCGCACAGGGGACCTCAGAGTCACGCTTAGACCCTTCTCCCACCTCCTGACTTGCGGACTTCGGTGGTGGGTGGTGACAAACTGGAGTCCACTGGGTCGGAGGCAGAGAAAGGTGGCTTTGCTGGGGGCTGAGGAGAGGAGGCGTTTTTGGATCACAGCATATACCTTGTCTAGAATTGTATAAAAACCTACAGGAAAAGGCTGATTTTAAAAAAACAACTAACGGCACAAAAAATCCAAGCGTGAGAATATCCAGAATGCGAATGCGTTTATATAACCTGCACCATTGAAAGGAACATTGGAAAAAAAAAACAAAAACTCCAAGGAACAGGTCGTTGGGTTTGGAGAAGTTTCTTTCAGGAAGTTCTCTTCCTGCTTGTTCACTGTGGATCAAAGCTCGTTGGCAATTTCAGAAATTCATATTCTTGAGACTCGGTGCCTTTGGAATGACGGCTCACAATGAGGACGGTGTGCGTTTCCGGCAAGAATCAGCGGTGGGGGCTTTTCTCCTTATCACCCGTTCCCCAGACCCCTCTCGCCAGCCTCATAAAGAAACAGATGGTGCATCAGGAATAGCTCAGAAATCACGTTGGCTCCTGGCTGTATAAAGAGTGGGGACTGGGATCATAAAAATTTGAAATCTCCTAGGAAAGGACAATGATTCCCTCAATGAAATATTGATGTAAAGGGAGCATTTTAGAAGACAGAAATGATGAACCCTGATTCAGGTCGAAGCTGGTAGTGTACTTTAACCTTTTTGAGAATTGTTAATTTAAAAGCAAATAGAATGAAATATAGACTATAAAAGCAGATTAAATCACTTTTATGCATCCTGGGTTTTTTTTGGTGTCACGTGACAGGAAGAGTTAATACAAAGAAGACCAGGTTTTGGAAGGACAGTGGGGCTCACATGTGATGAAACACAGGCCATGACCCCTTTAGGAATTGGAGGGAAGCCAGCCAGGTCAGGCCCCCCACCCCTGGGTCCTGGGTTGGGGCTCTGTGGGCCCAGGGAGCCCCCCAGAACCAAATTCTCCGCTAAGCAATTTTTAAAAGAGCAGCTGCCCATCCCATGTCCAATTAGAGTGAGCAGATGTTTAAGAAACATGTCTTTGATTGATTTGGGGGGAGCCCCCCACAGTTTGATGTTTTGCTTGGAGGTAGGGGAAATGGGGACTGAGTTACAAGTATCTACCTGTAGGAATAAACAATTCTTTTGAAACATCAGTAGGGAAGAAAGAAAAAAAAAAGGCAGCTTAAGATTTATCTAAAAAGGAAGT